CAGCTTCTCTTTGGCATATCTAAATTGCCAGCATCACTATACTTGCACTTTGGGGCTATTATTGAGTAAAATACGGGTTATGTGAACACAAGCACTGCAATATCATGACAGTTTGCTCTGATAACCATTTGCACTTTGGGGCTATTATTGAGTAAAATAAGGGTTATGTGAACACGAGCACTGCAATATCATGACAGTTTGCTCTGATAACCAAGAGGGTTAAGCAACTAATAGATGAGTAGCACATACAGCATGGATATGCTAGACAAAGGAATGATTCATTCCTGGTGGGACAGTTCAAGAGGGTATGTTTGATTTCATCATGCTATTCAGAATGATATCCAATTTAATACCTCTGAATTATTTATTTCTGGAATTTTCCATTTACTATTTTTGGATCAAGGTTGACTGAGGGTAACTAAAATTGCAGAAAGTGAAACTGTGGATAAGGGGGGACTACTGTATGCATTTGCTTGTTGGATTTCAAAGGTTATCTACTTCCCCTTATACCATCTGGAAATGGATATGTAGAAAACAGACACTAAACTGATGCTGATCGCTGAGGTCAAGACACAAAAATGTTCACAAAAGAGTAGATTTCTTTGGTAACAGCTTTGGAAATCATATTGGAGTAGGAGATGGAGCAAGTTTTTAGATCTCACTCAGATCTTGCTATAATCAGACTCGCTAATAAAAGATGAGGGTTTCTGTGTTTAGTGTTCTCTATTTTTAGCACTGACACCTTGTGTCTGATTTAGAGTTGGTTTGAGTATTAGCACGTTCTTTGAAAACTCTAGTAATTCCAGAAGAGATTATTATCTGGGCAACAACTTAGAGGATTAGATCAACATGACCTGAATGTAGAAAAGGGGCACAACTCAAAGTTAGGCAGAGTACCCTGGATAAGTCATTCAAGCTTCAGTTTTCTCATCCCAAAACTGGTGTCTTCCAGTGTCCCTTGGGAGTCTCTATGGCTGATTCCAAGTGATTAGTTAAAGAATCTGTAAGTTTCCAGGCTTCGCATTCATGAATGCCCTAGGATTTTTTTGTCTTAGAATTTGTGCCCTTCCATTTATTGTTCCCTGATCTAAATCTTGGTTACTTTGGTGCTCAATGGCTTCTCCAGGACAAAGGTAGATAAAAGAAAGCATAAAGCAAATCTGTATATTGATGTTTCAAGAAAAATCTGTTGGCAGCGTAGTCAAGGGGAGTTACTGACTATAATTGGCATCGGGTACCTGTGGAAAGCAGGGGGACTCGCATAGGAGGAGGGTTCACATCCTTATTCCACCACTTATTAAGGAAAGGAGGTCACTTAATATTTTTGTTCTCCATTTTTTTCTTTTGTAAAATGAAGATAATAATTTTTACTTCTTGGGGTTATTGTAAAGAAACAGTGGACAGAGGATGTTAAGCTTAACTGCATCATATGGACTAAATTTTAATCTGTTTAGAATGAGACAGTTAAATGTCTGCCATTACTATAGAGGGTTGAGAGACAACTCTAAATCATTTTACCATCTAAGAACTTTGCTATGTTGTTCTTTTAGAAAGTTATTTATTCCTACTTACCAAGTGTAACAAATATTTCTTTTGCTATTTCCACTTCACATATGATCCAGTTTACTCAAAAGACAAGGTAACTTTCTTTCCATAATACTGTATTCTCTATAAACATCTGCCTTATTTCATCTTAAATTCTTACAATTTGGCATTAGGAAAGGGACCCTCAGTCACACACTGGGCTGTCTGGTATTCATAATGTATACTTTCTAGTGCAGTGGTTCTGACTTTGTTAAGTCACAAAGTTCTCTGAGATTCTGATGAAAGCTACAGCCCTTCTCTGCTTACACACACAAATTCTCATCTGTGCATAATTTTGCACATAATTTCAGATCATCCAGGAGTCTGTTAAAATCTATTAATGGACAGAGGTGCAAAATGGTCATGAGTACTCTTTCTTTTTTAATTCCTGATAGTATCATGGATTACTAGCATAAAACAACAATCTTGTATCTTTCTGTTTTCTTGAATTACTTTCTTTACTTTAGGGTTTTTTCTTACTGTGACTAAGACTAAAGGCATTTAAAATAAGCCTTCCAGAATTTATTTTATAACCTTTGGCTCATAATGCAATTGGTAACTGATCTGTGCTATAACCACACTGACACTGAATGAACCATTGTTTTTAAGACTTACCGAGGTCAGCCAATTCCCACGCATGTATAAATCTCCATAGTTTCCACTTTAACACTGGACATCTAACTGCAAAGCAGAGGCTAAAAATAGATCAAACCTAGTGCTTACATACACTCCACAGAATTGCATTTCCAACCCTAGGGGTTTTAATCAACAACACCATTCATAATTCAAAGAGGGATATTTCATTTAGCAGGAAAAAGTTGTTCCACTTTGAAAAATCTAAAACAGGATCTACAAGTTTTATGAAGAGTTTGAAATGTTCAAAGAATATTATCTGCACCTGTTAGCTCTAGTTGCGTAAACAAAGAAAGACTAAAATATCCCTAGAGTTAGGCTGGCTTTCTTTTCTTTTACATTGCATTATACAAAGGAGAAATATTGCCATTTTCCTTTCTGTTGTTTCTAGGTCAACATTTCCAGGTCGACATTTTTCTACCAAGGACTTTGAGTTCTTCAAACATACCAAGCCATTAATAAATACTTAATTATATAAATACATACATAGAAGGAACAAGATGTGAGGTTGAGTGTAGAAAAATGATTATAGTTCCATTTCCTATAGAAAGTTTATTATCTGAGATACTGTATAGCTAAAATGACTAAGTCTTCCAAAGACTATACACAGCAAGTGTTTTCTGAATAAGATAAAAATTCTCAGAAGTTCAATTACTAATGTTTGGTGTAATATATCAGATTATGAATAAATATAAATATTGCACATGTGGTTAAAAGGAGGATTTGTGTAAAATTAAAATAATTTAAACAAAATTTAGCAATAGAGTGGAAGAAGTAAAGAACTCAAAGATATAAATTCGTAAACTCTATAGATTCTACAGCATTGGGAAAATGAAATAACACACAAGGAGGTACATTAACAACTGTATGATAATGAAAATACTCATCTTCTATAGACTCAGCACAAACAGTCCAGGAAAATGGATATTTAAACTGTAAGATAGCTGCTTTCCTAAATGAGGTTATGCAACACACCTATGAAACATTGTTCAGGAGGCCAACATGATGCTTTTATATACAAATTGTGTTAATTCCCCTCAGTTTTCCTTTACAAAGCAGTTACTTGAAGCAAGTGCTTCAAGAAATAAATTCCTATCGGTAACAATATTTCCATATTTTCAGCCAATTCGAGGTCCTTATGAATATCCCATGGCAGAATATGACTCATGAAAGTGCAATTGCAAAATGATCCTGTTCCATTTTAAACGGAATTTCAGAACGCTGCCATCACACATTCCAGGTAACCCCACTGGACTCTGGTTCTCTTACTGAATGTAGGGAAGCTCCCAGGATGTCAATGCCCGCGCCCACGAAAAGGCAGCCATAGCTCATAGCTCACACACTGCTGAAACCCAGCGGGGATTCAGGAATTTCTGCCTTCGGAAACGTTCCTCACTTCTAGTCATAAAAACCAGTGTTATTTTCTCAATAATTTTAAATGCCTTTTCCAGATGCCCTAACATATTTTGTGGACTCAAATTTTGTAAGACTTAATTTTATTGTATTTACAACATAATGCCAGAAGCTTTGGAGAGAATTCAAGGCAACAGGTGGTTATTTACCATATAGCCCAGAAGTTTTTACGTGTTGAAGTTCAGCAATTCTTCCTGAGGACTATGGGTAGATTTTAAATAAAATCACATGTATCTTGTGAGTGCTTTTTAATCCCCACAAAATGTTTCATTCTGGGTATTGAAAAAATTAAAATTGGTTTGGACTGAGACTGTAAATATCTGCCCAGCAGTCATCAGGCTGGAACAACAGATACAGAGAAGCCAAATGCAAAGTTCACAGGAAACATTTCTACTAGGGACACTGCTGCTGTAAAGTGTCATGGTAACCTTCTTCTCTGAGTGACTGCAGACTCACTGAGAAACTGCTCTAATAGCAAAGATTATCAGTAAGGTTGCTGTTTGAAATTTTATCGATAAGAATGAGACATCGCACTCTTGCCTGGAGGACCTCAGGAGCTGTTGACAGAGAAGCAGCTTGATTCCCAGCCCAGGGGCTGGCCTCCATGCAAGGGGTTTCTGGTTACAACAGTCCAACTTACCTCAACTTCACCGTTTCCAAAGAAACAGCAGCCTGGGGTAGCTTGGCTGACCAGATTTGCATCTAAACTCCACTCTTTCTAGAATCCTATAGTAACTCTCTCTTTTCCTATAGTAACTCTCTCTTTTCCTCTATCTTGTGGTCTTCCTTTTGCAGTGGGTCAGTATATCTAATTATGTGTAAATACAGGTTTGTTCCTCGTATTCTGAGGCTCGCTGAGATAGGGTATGTTTTTACAAAACGTCTTGGCTAAAGAAAATACTTGCTGCTTCAATAATAATAGCTCTGACTTTTAACACTGGCTCTCAGATACTGGAAAAAAAAAAAAAATAGGACACATCACTGCTGTAGTTTGGGCTCCCGTGACCTGTGAATTTTAAATTCTCTACTGCCTTGTCATCTAAGTAGAAACATTCTGAGAGCCAGGAAACCTGCCCTGAGTGTTGAAATATTTTCTGGCGCTGCTGCTGCAAAAGCAACCTGTGGCAAAACGTCTCTGCTTTTAGAAATCAAGCAAGACTTCCTAGTGTTACTGTGAAGTTCCTTGTGAAACTCAGATGGGATGAAGGGAAAACCTAAGTCCCAGGTTTCCCAGATACACAGCCTTGCTCCACACCTGGTTTAAATGTAGGGCTGCCAGATTTAAGAAGAAAGGAAAATGTGATGTGGGAGAGGTATTCATTCTGAGAATGTGCCTTCGCCCTAAGGTTGGAAGGCTGCTTTTGACATACCCATGGGAGTAGCCATAATCGTAGGCTGAGACGGCCTTCCGACTGACTGCAGACGCAAGGCTGGACTCGGTGGCCCTGGACGCTTGCTGCTGGTAGGAGGCCTCTGATGCCTGGCTGAAGGCCTGGGATTCCTGGCGGTGCGCAGCCGATGAGCGGCTGCTGTAGGCTGTGGAGCCATGGGTGTAGATGGCAGAACTTTTCTTTTCCTGCTCGTGGTACTGGCTCATGGCGGTGCGAAGGTCCTTGCTGCGGTAGCTACGATCATAGTGCTCATGGAATTTCTGATAAAACGGCAGAGACATCATGTGTCCCGGAGGGAAGAACAAGGCAACCTATAAGAAAGCAACAATTTTTGAGTGAACTATTAAGAAACAAACCCCATAGAACAAATCATCTAAACCAATGTGTAAAAATTAATACTTTCATTATTTCCAAAGATTAAGTGGAAAATGATATGAAGTTCAGCTTAACTGGTTTCTCAATAAACTCTTTACTTCATTTGCTCCTTTCTGTCCTTGCATAGCTTTCTGTTTTCTTCTTTCCTTCTCTCTCTCTCTTCCTCTCTTCCCTTCCTCTCTCTCTCTCTCTCTCTCCTCTGTCTCTCTGTCTCTGTCTCTGTCTCTGACTCTGTCTCTCTCTCTCACACACACACACATTTAAAGAACATAAATACTGGGAGGGTGGGAAGAAGGGCAGAGAATAAAGCTACGAGTTGAGTTTGAAAATCTGCCCTCCGGATGGAGC